AAAACAACCAAGGACGGGCACGCCAACCATCTCCACCACCAACACAAGCGGAGGCTCAACTTGGAGGAGGGAGACTTCACGGCTTCCTCCAATTACCCGTCGAACATATGAAGGCTTTGGAGCGCTTCCTTCCCCTCCCATTTGGGCAGCAAAGATGCTTTGATTGGGATCTCCTAGAGCGCCTCGGAGCAGCGGAACCCGTTCGCACATGCCTCCGTCTCCCGGCATGGTGTGAGGTTCTCTCCATCAATGAGGTCATCTACCGAGAGCTTACCATTGAGTTCCTCAGCACTCTCTCCATCAAGAGAATGTCCGAGTTTAACCTCGACAAGCCCGAAGACAACATAACTTTTCGCCTTGGAGGACAGGCGAGACAGATGAGCATCACTGAGTTCACAGAGGCACTCCAGATATACCCACCAGGATTTCTCACCACAGGTGGACATGGTTTTATTTCGGAGCAAATATATCATTCAAGAACAGAATCGGTCAATGCTATGTGGAGAACGGTAAAACAAAACCATGTGGACAAGTCTGACCCTGCCCACTATAAAGGGAATGATCTTCTTCCCCCGTGGCGTATCATCCACAACATTATCGCTCATTCTGTGGCAGCTAGGGAGGGGAGCCCGGGGAGTGTGACCAAGCGGGATTTGAACTTTTTCCTCTCTATGGTAAAAGATCCCCCAATTCATCTTGGTATAGTCATATTGAAAACCCTACAGAAGATCACCTCCAACAAACAAATCAAGACCATCCATGGAGGTGCCTACATCACAAGGCTAGCTCGGCATTTTGGCATTGATCCGGTGGGTTCTCATTGCACCATTGCCCAGTCCACTCAACCAATCTCCCAAAAAAACCTTGCGGATCTAAATTTGTTGTCAAAGGTAAATGTTCCAACCAACACTTTCCTTTTCACAGTGAATGCTAAAACATAACTAGTCGGGATTCAAACAATCTAGGATTGATTTTGTGCAAGTTTTGGATTGCCTACTAATCTAGTTCATTTTGAACATTGAGCAAATGTAACTAATGCTTCTGATATTGATCATGTCTGTGTTTGGTGGTTAAGGAGAATGGTGTGGTAGGCATTGTTGGCCTCCCTCATCCTGCTCGACCTCTTGCAACAGATGAGGCAAACGCATCGGAGCATGTTGTTCAGCAAATGGTCGAGGAGACTCCGGAACAACCTGCACAACATCACCAAACTACGACTCAAGCCGGACCATCCACCGACAGCTACATATCCCATTTTGAGGCATTGGGTCGGCAGAATGCCCAAATTCTGGAGCAAAATGCACTCATTCTCTCCCGCCTCGATCGAGAGAAGGAAGCTCGACGCTACATCATCGAATGCAACCATCAGATCATGAGGTCCTTGAGGATTGACTACGAACAATTCTCAAGACCTTGGGAACTATCTCCTAGGCCAACCGAGGAGATCAATGAAGAGGGAAGTGAAGAGGATGACGAGGGTAATGACGATGAGCAAAACAAGGAAAAAAATCAAGAGGAGAAAGGAGAGGAACAAAACAAGGAAAGCAGTGAAGAGGACAGTGACACCAATGAGGAAGACAGCAGTGAAGAGGACGACGACGAGGGCAATGGCGATGACCAAAACAAGGAAAAAAATCAAGAGGAGAAAGGAGAGGAACAAAACAAGGAAAGCATTGAAGAGGACAAAGGGAACGATGAGGAAGACAGCAGTGAAGAGGACGACGACGAGGGCAATGGCGATGACCAAAACAAGGAAAAAAATCAAGAGGAGAAAGGAGAGGAACAAAACAAGGAAAGCATTGAAGAGGTCAAAGGGACCGATGAGGAAGACAGCAGTGAAGAGGAGGACGACGAGGACAATGGCGATGACCAAAACAAGGAAAAAAATCAAGAGGAGAAAGGAGAGGAACAAAACAAGGAAAGCAGTGAAGAGGACAGTGACACCAATGAGGAAGACAGCAGTGAAGAGGACGACGACGAGGGCAATGGCGATGACCAAAACAAGGAAAAAAATCAAGAGGAGAAAGGAGAGGAACAAAACAAGGAAAGCATTGAAGAGGACAAAGGGAACGATGAGGAAGACAGCAGTGAAGAGGACGACGACGAGGGCAATGGCGATGACCAAAACAAGGAAAAAAATCAAGTGGAGAAAGGAGAGGAACAAAACAAGGAAAGCATTGAAGAGGACAAAGGGACCGATGAGGAAGACAGCAGTGAAGAGGACGACGAGGAGGGCAATGGCGATGACCAAAACAAGGGAAAAAATCAAGAGGTCAAAGGGACCAATGAGGAAGACAGCAGTGACTCTAGCGAGGACAATGAAGATGAGCAAATCCAGGAAAACAAAGACGAGGACGAGAACACTAACGAGAAAGATGGGCAGTGAAGATGAGCCAACCAAAGTCCTTAGTACTTAGCTATGTGTGTTTGCTTTTGTGCTTGTATGTTTTCCAATTAGAATATTATGATGCACCAGTGTGGGCTACATGCATCTAAACTTAAGCATTAATTAGACAAATTTAATCGTGTTATGGATGTTTGTTTTATAAGACAAATGTAAAGCTTTGACTGCTTTTTACTTTTTGTTAACAGGGTATCTCATCTGATATGATGTACAGTTACTAGAGAAGGATCTATGTAATGCTCGTGTCAAGCTTCAAAGAACATTATGACTCATCTTTTCATAAGCTTGTAGATTTCACAAACAATATATTATGTTACTTGCACCATTATAATAAGTACAAGGGTTAGTTGTACAGGTGCATGTCTGTCCAGACTATTTCTGGAAATCTCACGGCCAATTCTGGAAATCCCACGGCCGTGAAAGAAGACGTGGTTTTGGATATGTAATTCTGGAAATATCACGGCCGTGAGATAGGCCGTGAGATAGGCCGTGAGATAGGTCGTGGATGTAAAAATGGACTTCTCAGTTTCCCAGAGGGTTTCACGGGTTGCCTTCGACATTATCACGGCCGTTAGATGAGCCGTGTTTTGGAATTGAATGATGTACCTCTCACGGCTCATCTGTTAATTCTCACGGGCGTGAGAATAGGCCGTGTGATTGTCTGGAGATAGGAAAACTACTTTTGCTTGTCACGGGTCATGTCACGGCCGTGAGATGAGCCGTGTTTCCTCAAAATTGTACCTACACTTTCTAGAGTTGTACCTTTACACTAAATTTAAAGTTGTACCTACACTTTCCTAAAAATTGTACCTATACACTATAGTACAACTTTTAGTTGTACCTACACTTTCTCAAAATCCTTCTATGGTACAACCCAAACTTGTACCTATACCATGGTACAACTTTAAGTTGTACCTACACTTTCTAAAAATCGGTCTATGGTACAACCCAAACTTGTACCTATACCTTGGTACAACTTTAAGTTGTACCTACACTTTTTCAAAATCCTTCTATGGTACAACCCAAACTTGTACCTATACTAATGGTACAACCTTAAGTTGTACCTACACTTTCTCAAAATTCTTTATGGTACAACTCAAAATTGTACCTATACTAATGGTACAACTTTTAGTTGTACCTACACTTTCTAATAAATCCCTTTATGGTACAACTCAAAATTGTACCTATACTAATGGTACAACTTTAAGTTGTACCTACACTTTCTCAAAATTCTTTATGGTACAACTCAAAATTGTACCTATACTAATGGTACAACTTTTAGTTGTACCTACACTTTCTAATAAATCCCTTTATGGTACAACTCAAAATTGTACCTATACTAATGGTACAACTTTAAGTTGTACCTACACTTTCTAATAAATCCCTTTATGGTACAACTCAAAATTGTACCTATACTAATGGTACAACCTTAAGTTGTACCTACACTTTTTCAAAATCCTTCTATGGTACAACCCAAACTTGTACCTATACTATGGTACAACTTTATGTTGTACCTACACTTTCTAACAAATCCCTTTAAGGTACAACTAAAAATTGTACCTATACGAATGGTACAACCTTAAGTTGTACCTACACTTTCTAACAAATCCCTTTATGGTACAACTAAAAATTGTACCTATACTAATGGTACAACCTTAAGTTGTACCTACACTTTTCCAAAATCCTTCTATGGTACAACCCAAACTTGTACCTATAATATGGTACAATTTTAAGTTGTACCTACACTTTCTCAAAATTCTTTTATGGTACAACTCAAAATTGTACCTATACTAATGGTACAAATTTAAGTTGTACCTACACTTTCTAATAAATCCCTTTATGGTACAACTCAAAATTGTACCTATACTAATGGTACAACTTTAAGTTGTACCTACACTTTCTAATAAATCTCTTTATGGTACAACTCAAAATTGTACCTATACTAATGGTACAACTTTAAGTTGTACCTACACTTTCTAAAAATCCTTCTATGGTACAACCCAAAATTGTACCTATACCATGGTACAAATTTAAGTTGTACCTACACTTTCTAACAAATCCCTTATGGTACAACTAAAAATTGTACCTATACTAATGGTACAACCTTAAGTTGTACCTACACTTTCTCAAAATTCTTTAATGGTACAACCCAAACTTGTACCTATAACATGGTACAATTTTAAGTTGTACCTACACTTTCTAATAAATCCCTTCATGGTACAACTCAAAATTGTACCTATACTAATGGTACAACTTTAAGTTGTACCTACACTTTGTGAAACAAATTCTTCAATGGTACAGCTGAAACTTGTACCTATACTAATGGTACAACTTTAAGTTGTACCTACACTTGTATACATTGATTCATTATTTACAAGATTGCCATTAATGATGTGGGACCAGTCATTTAGTGGGTTTACCTCCTCAATAGGTCACCTTTTTTTTTTTGTTTTTTATAGCATGGGTGCTATAGAGCACACTAGAAGGGCTCCATACTTGTGAGCTCAATTAATAGAGACAGCTAGCTAGAGATAACAGTGTCGGTGCATGGATGGCTTAAATTATACATCCATCTCATTTCTCGTTTTACTATGAATCCCTCCATCCGGCATCCACTTTCTCATTTCTTCCCTTCATTACTGATTCCCAACAACACCAGAACCTTGCATCCATTATCATCAACTTCTTTCCTCCTTCCAATCGTTCCCTTCAGCAAAGCCTTCCGCCATCATCGTCATCATTAAAGAAGCCGCTCCATCTATCTCCGAGAGTCATTATTGCCACCGCCAGCAACAGGAGGAGGAGGCTAACGAAAGCTCTAGCACTCGTCCCATGCGTCATCTTCCCCGCCGCATCGCCGGCCACATCACCGATCATTGCCATTTCCGGAGAAACGCCACACTACTAACTAGTGTCGATTCCATTCATGTCTTCCACTCCCTGTAGAGACTAGTAAGTAAGAACGACAAACCCCCAACACTCTTCAAGCTTCAAAGCTCTATAGGTACTAACCATGGTTGTCTTCGTCGTTGCTTTGACGACAAAAGGTACGGGGGATTGAATGACAATTTAAGCAAGGATGTGAAGGTCCCACTGACGGGAATCTAGGTCTAGGCACGCACACGTGGTAAGGAAGCCCGATCACTTACATTAAAATCGAGAATCATGTGGGTTATACGAGTTGTGAAATTCTGTGATTTAGTGACCAAACTTACAGTCTTTTAGTGACGGAATTTTGGTTGTCTCTAAAGACTACTAGTTTATTGTCCAGATCAGTCCCCCATATATTCAGTATATACAGTTTAGTCCCTCAGAGTTTTAAGTTTTGATAATTGGCCCAAAAATCGTATTTTTCATGGTTATGTTAATTTCCAACACTTTTCCGTGGGTACTTTCATAATATGACAATTTGATAAATTTGAGAATATTTGTATGATGCTCGTGTATAAATTTTAGAATTTTTGGATCTGTATTTCTATTTATAAAAATTGAACGAATATCGATTGTAATTAATTAAAATACTGTACGAAGTCGTTTTGGTGATTTGTTAATTTTCCATGAAACTAGGATTATTTATTGATGTTATAAAATTACGAATCAGAATTATTAGTGTTCGTGACTTGGTTTAAAAATTATATATGATTAATTTTAATAGGAAAAATAGGTTATTTAAAAGAGGGGCTTATGTTTATTAATTGGGATTAATGATTTGAGTTAAGCAAGGTCAGAATATGGAGTCTTAAGTGGAAAATATATTTTGAGAAATTTATGAGAATTGTATGAGAATTATTTTAAGAAATATTGAATTGCTTGAGATGATTTAATTCTTGATTAAAGAGGTTGAAAAGTTTAGTTTTGAGGAAATGATTTAAAAGAGATTGAGGGCCATTTTTTAAAGGATTTTGGGACTAAGTAATCAATGAGGGAAATTTTCCCCATACGTTAAAGGGACTAAATCTGAGGATTACCAACTAAGGGAAGATGATTTCAGTTTATAGGATTGAGGAAGCGATCGGATTAAGGATTTCACGTCAAGGGAACTAAGAATTGTCATTTGAGAGGTGAGTGGTTTAAGGGGGTAAATTCTACGCCTTACGTGTTTTCAAGTAATTTCCTTACGAGTTTTTAAAGTATGTGTGTTTACGTGAATTATATGCCAGTGATTGAATTATGTCGTGATTGATAAAGCATGATCTATTTGAGATATTATCCGAGATGATTATTTGAGCTTTCTGTATTTACTTGAAGCTTTTATATTTATGTTTATTTAATGAAGGTTGTTTGATCTTTAAGGATCAATATTTAAGAGGTATCTCACTCCTAATTAAATTAGGGTGAAAAGATTTAAAGATAGTTCACTAACGACAGTCCCCCGCCCCAGTGAAAGTTTAAAGGAAGAGCAAGTTTGCTCTTAAGGAACATGTGGATGAATCACTTAGACATCACATGAAGTTTAAAGGAAGAGTATGATATACTCTTAAGGTTTATGGGGTTGAATAGATTACTCCCATAAAAAGGTTTAAGGAAAGGCCTATGTTGGCCCTCATACGTATGAGTTGGGCGGTTGGACTAGTTAGTGAGGGGATCCCAGTGTCGGTCAAAGGTTTAATATTTTTGAGAGTGGCAAGTAACAACAGCTCCCACGTTTTAAGAGTTAAAGTTTAAAGGGTGGAAGTATAAATAACTTCCACGGGTTTTTGAGGTGAACACTTAAAGGAATACCCGTAAGTGCTTCAAGTTTAAGTAATGGCGTAGACTGACCCCAACCCACTCACCAGGTCGTAGAGGAGGAGCTAGGGAGCATCCAGTCGAGGAGCATCCAGTGAGAGAGCAGGCTACCAGAGGAGGACCACGTGAGCACTTCTGAAGATGTCTGACCACGGATCGGAGTAAGCAGCATTTGTAATCTTTAGTTATTTGCTTTATGATTATGAGTAATGACTGGAGATTTAAAAGGATAAGACTTTATGGATTGAGGTTTGCCCAAATGTTAGGGCTTTGCTTTTAAATTATAAGGTGTATTTTCAGCATTGGCATTTCGAGCACATTATTGTTTCTTTCTTTCAAAAATCTTAAATATGCTCCGGAGCAAAATTGTTATTTAAGGGTTTTAGAGATCGGGATGTGACATGAAAAACCTCCAAACACCCTCTATTTTTCGCAGCTTCTTAGGATGTGCTCTATAGTCTCATCACATCCCTCACAACCTGGAAATTTGCATTCGCTATCCTCCGTCAGTTTTCTTTTAGCTCTCTCTTTATTTGTCAAGAGCTTCTCATGGTAAGTGAGACAGAGAAAATGCTTGACCCTTTTCGGGCCCTTCCATTTCCATAGCTTCTTCCATTCGCTTCCCTGCACCTCTTCAAGCTCCTCCGCTGCCAATTTGTAAGCAGACTTGAACCTGAACCTGCCATAAGTTTCCAGCCCCCAGATGATCATGTCCTCTCCAAGATCCTGCTTTGGCACGTCGGTTCCTGCAATCAAAGAGAGGATCTCTTCAGGAAGTTTACCATTCAAGTAAACCCAGTTCCATTCCCCAGCAGAAGTGACAAGTTTCGAAACAAGGGCATCCCTTTCCTCTTCTTCAACGCTTAAGAGGAGGAATTCCTCAAGCACCAATCCAGCATTGATCCATGGTTGTCTCCAGAAAGCAGTGGAGTTTTCATCCCTGATACTGGTACATGTAGCAGAATCCATAATGGGCATCACCTTGACGATTCCTCTCCACAACAGAGAATGGTTGCTCTTTTTCATGGATGTGATGACACCGTCCTTCTTCTTGAAGTACTTGTTCTGAAAAACCTGCATCCACAGAGCCTTTTCATTCTTAAGAATCTGCTAAGCAAGTTTAACAAGATAAGCTAAATTCAGACAACGGTCACTCTTGAGCCCAAGACCCCCTGACTTTTAGGTTTGCAAATGGTTTCCCAATCAATCTAATAGACTTTGCGTTTACCATCTTTAGCCCCCCACACGAAACCGCGGATCTTACGATCGATCTCATCACAGACAGACATGGGTAAAACAGAAGATTGCATAGCATAGTTAGGGATTTAATTCAAAACAGTAGTAGCCAGAGTAACTCTACCCGCCAGGGATAGAGTTCTTGCTTTCTAGACATTTAATTTCTTGTCCATTTTCTCCAATATATACTTATAAGTATCTCTAGTGATCCTACCATGTAAAATAAGGACTCTCAAATACTTCCCTAAGTCAGAGGTGTTTTGGATGCCAAGACGATTACAGATGCAGGACTTATCCAGGTTCCTAATATTTTTGGAGAAAAAGACTCAGGAAATTTCCTTGCTTATCAACTCTCCTGAGGCCAAGCAGAATTTCTTAGTGCAATTCATGACAACATCAGCTTGCCTCAGGTTTGCCTCATCAAAGACAACCAGGTCATCAGCAAAGAAGAGGTAAGACAAATCAGGTCCTCCCTTAGACAGCCTAACAGGTTTCCATCTACCATCATTCACCTCCCTAGTGATGCAATGCCCTAATCGTTCAATGCATAATGTAAAAAGGTAAGGGGAGAGGGGACATCCTTGTCTATGTCCTCTGCCAGGTTGGAAAGCCTCTGTTTCACCTCCATTCTAGAGAACTTGGAGTTCAGTTATGGTGACGCAGGTCATGATCAGTCTTACTCCATCAGCAGGGAGTCCCACTACTTGCAGAGTTTCCTCCAGAAAGTTCAAATCAAGACGATCATAGGCCTTAGCAAGGTCTATTTTGAGTAGCATGTCACCCTTCTTGCCAGACATCTTTGACATCGAATGGACCGTTTCTTGAAGAATCAGAATATTGTCATTGACGTTTTTGTTTAGAACAAAGCTTGCTTGGTTGGGCTTGATGAGTGAGTTCATCAATGGTTTCAGCCTATCAGCGAGACACTTAGCCACAATCTTGTAATTGCCATTACAAAGACCGATGGGGGCGGAATTGTCTCATTGAATGAGGAGAACCAACTTTGGGGATCAAGGTAAGAAGGGTGCCATTGAAGCTTCTGATAAGATCCGGGTTGCCAAAGCAAGAAGCCACAAAGGAGTGGAGATCATCACCCACAGGGTCCCAACAACGCTGGTAGAACAGGGCATTGTATCCATCCTTCACTAGAGCCTTCATTCCCTTCATTCTTGAGACAATTTCCTTCACTTCCACTAGGAGGGGAATTCTGCAGAAGCTTGAGGGCTACTTCGTTGGACATGGGAAAATCAACAGCCACATCAGGTCTTTCTCCTGACTGCTCCTTAGTGAACAGGTGGATGTAATACTCCCTTGCCATCATCTGAATTTGAACAGGTTCCGTGATCCACTGATTCAGGTTATCCTTCAGCCCCTTGATCTTCTGCTGTTTCCTTATAGTAATTGCACTGTAATGAAAGAAGTGTGTGTTGCTATCGCCATAAGTAAGCCAGTTCACTCTAGACTTTTGAAACCAAAAAAGCTCTTCCTGTCAAAGAGTATCCTCCAACTCTTCTCTTGTGTCCTGATCATCTTTGAGTGACTATGGATTGGTGTTGCACTCATTCTGCCATTCAAGGCTCTCCAATTTGCGTTGCAGCTTCTTTTTCCTTTTAAAAATATTTCCAAATGTGTTTTTGTTCCACTTCTTGAGCTCCTCAGTGAGCAGCTTAAGGTATGGAAGAAAGTTGGTGCTTTTCTTCCAAGCTTCAGTGGCAATAGGAAGGAAATCATCATGCTCCATCCACGCAGCAATGGACTAGAAGTGTCGCTCAAGTTTGCTCTTATCCTCTGGACCAGAGTTGCAGGTGAGGATAGCTCTATGATTAGACTTGAGTTTTGGGAGGTGTTAGGTGGTAGGTGATAATTTTGGGAGGTTTTTGGGACTTGTTTTGCTTTTGAACCACGTGAAACAGGGTCCTGTAAAGCCAGTATCAAACAAACCCCAGTCCTTGATACACCTATTGAATGCCTTGACTTTAGCTGGATTGAAACAAGCACCGCCTTGCTTCTCAGAAGCCTTGGTGATAGAATTGAAATTTCCAAAGATGAGCCATGACCTTCTAGTATGTTTCTCAATATCTCTTATCACATCCCAAAGCTTGACCCGCTCATATTCATTAGGGCTGGCATACACCCCTGTAGGAAGCAGGACAGAAGGCCTTCCATGGTTCATTTGAGGTGGATGAACTGCTTTTGTTTATCCAGCACCTCCATCTGCAGTTCATCCTCATTGTACAGAATCCAAATACCACCACTAAAACCTTATTCATCAAAAGATGAGTGAAAAAAGACTTCCCTCGGAGGACCAGCATGTCCTGAGAATCATCATGGGTCGACGACCATTGTTGTCGCCGTTGCCAACTTCTGGGGAGGCTCTGCTGCGGATTTGCTCTGGTTGGGCTCATCCACCTTCTTTCCCAACCCTCCCGGATCTTGAGCGAACTCAATCTTTCTTGCACGGCTTTTCCCATTTTCTGTGGTTTTATGAGCTTCAGACTTGCTCTTACTTATCAGAGGTGACTTCCCCAATTTAATAGTACCAGAGTGACCTGGTATTACTGCTCCCTCCTTGTCTCTCTCCCGCCCCTGTCTCGCACTAGAAGTGATCGATTGTTGCTTGTCGGTCTGGGCAGTGGAGCTCTCAGGGGGGCTCGAGTGAGGTTTACCACCCCCGCTTTTGATAGCCTCCTTCCTTGATTTCTAACAATAACTATATAGATGTTTCTCTTCGGCACGCACTCAATAAGCTTTTTCCTGCCTACTGAGCAGGTCGTAGGAGGACCTTTTGGTCTTTTCCTTCCATCTAAATGGGCCTCTAGGCCCACTACTTTATTTCCAAGCATCGACAAATTAAGAGTGTAATTGGCTAATTATTGTAATGAACTATTACAAAAAAAAAAATATTGTTATAAAAGATCCTAGACGTGTGGCGGATGGGTAGTCCATTAAAATTTCAAGATGAGGATGGTTGATAATCAAAGGTTCTTATTATTTTTATATTATTGTATTGGCATGAGAATATGAATAGGATGATGGTTAATTAAATTTTGAAGATTAAGGATGGTGGTTTAATCAAAGGTGTATATTATTTTTATAATTAGTGTTTATTTTTTGTAGTTCGATGTCTCGAAAACGATGCAGAGTGTCAATGCCACATGTTATTTAAAGAAATAACTTCAAAACTCAGGAAAATAGATTGTTAAGGTCCATCAAACTTGCCAAGAATCGTTCGATTGTCTTCAAACCCCATTTATTCATGTTTGTTTTCGATTTATATGTTATCAAATTATGTTTTGACTTTCCAAATTGCTTATTTTACTTATTCATATACAATACTTCAATATGAGATGAATAACTACCAACTACTTATTCAAATAGATTGTTAAGATCCATCAAACTTGCTGAAAATCGTTATAACCGTCTTTGGGTGAGGCAATCTAGAGACTTTCCAGGTTCATTGATATCTACACTAATTGTGATTTCTTCTTTTAATTTAATTTTAGAAACTGATGCTAGTGATTTGAGAGTGGGTGTTGTGTTGTCCTAGGAAGGCATGCCTATTGCTTACCTCAGTCAGGCACTTTGTCCCAGGAAGCAAGGTTTGTCAACCTATGAAAAAAAATATTTGACAGTATTGATGGCTATTACTAAGTGGAGGCATTATCTGGAAGGAAGGAAGTTTACTATAGTGACTAATCATGAGAGTTTGAAACATCTACTTGGTCAAAAGATTCACATTCAGATCCAAAAGAAAGGGTTGGTCAAGTTGTTGGGATTGGACTTTGAGATTCAATACAGGCAAGGGAAGTTCAACAGGGTGGCAGATGCTCTCTCTATACACCCTGACTTTGCTGATAAAGGTTATTGCAGGCAATCACTGTTGTGTTACCCTCTTGGTTGGCTGAACTAGAAAGCACTTATGTGGGGGACACTGAGGTTTAGGAACTTATGATTGAGGCCAATGTTCCTTTTCATCGGTCCCAAGGTCTATTATGTGAAGCAAGGATTGTTGTATCACAAGGAAGCCATTTATGTAGGGTGTGAAGGAGGAATGAGGGAGCAGTTGATGAGGTTGTTTCATGACTCTCATGTAGGAGGTCATTCTTGGACTGACTGGTTGACAATGTCTGAGTGGTGGTATAACATCAATTACCACAGTAGCTTGTAACTCGCCCCCTTCCAGACTCTGTATGGTAATCCTCCCAGTCAGTTTGCCATTAAGAATCCTTTGCCCACCTCAATAGCAGCAGTAGCAGATCGATTGCAGGAGTATTAAAAGTTGGTTGGTATCTTGAGAGATAATTTGGCTAAAGCTCAGAACAGGCAGAAGCAAATGACAGATTTACATAGAACCGAGAGACAATTTAAGGTGGGGGAATATGTATACCTGAAACTCAGACCCTACAGGCAAGCCAATGTCACTACTCGAGCTAATAAGAAGTTAGCAGCCAAATTCTATGGTCCCTTCCTCATTCTGCAGAAGATTAGTGTTGTGGATTATCGTTTGAAGCTTCCGGCTGGGTCAATCATCCACTCTGCCTTTCATGTGTCCTTGCCAAGTAAGTAGAAATCAGCTGCAGACTCAGCCGACACTTCCTGAGATGAATGAGTCTGGTAGTCTCAAGATTGAACCAGCAACAGTTTTGGCACGTAGGTTTGTGGCTCGAGCAAATCAAGCTGCTACTCAGATACTGGCGCAGTGGACACATCAATTCGAAGAGGATGCCACCTGGGAGTTTGTGGATGATTTCAAGCTAAGGTTTCCTACATTTCAGACTTGAGACAAGTCTGTGCTTAAGGGAAGGGGTGTTGTAACAGCTGGACTCAATTGTAAGAAGTTAGAAGTCAGTTGTAAACAATTAAAAAGTGGAGGACCAATCTGTAATTGTGAGTAACGGGTATATAAACCCAATATGCCTAACGGCTAACTCAGTTATCATCAATACAACAAATTTTCCCTCGCTGTCTCTGTTTTCTCTCTCTCTTCTCTAGTTCTTCAATAATTGATCTGCCATCGTCCTTGTCAATTCCTTCGCCAAATCTACTCGATCAACCTGGGACGTCACAACAAACCATTTTTTTATGACAATCACACACCAACATCGTCCTTGTCAATTCCTTAGCCAAATCTACTCGATCAACCTGGGACGTCACAACAAACCATTTTTTATGACAATCACACACCAACTATGAGGTAAGGATGATTGTTGTGGCACGGGACCTCTGGTTGTCGTTAAAGTTAACAATTGAACTAACTTTATCGTCTTCGACTCAAGTATGCCACGTGGATAAAACTGCTTAGTTTAGAGATTAAATGGACAACTTAAATTTGGACATTCTTAACGTTAACTCCAATCAGCTGAGTAGCAGCCCTATTCATGCGAGCTAGCTAAGCTAAGAATTCAAAATCTCAATATCCAGCAACATAACAAGACCGTCAAATGTACAACAGATAGAAATCAGATGAACATCAATAGATCGCATAAACGGCGAGAACCCCATTTGAAGTCTAATAGAATAATACAAGCTACAACAAGGAAGCCATATATTTACAAAATTCTCACAATCTAGGACGAAAGCAAACCAGTTAAGTTGCCTTCCACTATATCCCACCACTCCCACGAGCCACGGTGACTTCCCAGTGGTTTGTTCTCCTTCCCCATTCTCCCGCACACACAATCAAGAACCAATCTACTGTCTCTACCATTCGCAAGCAAAAATTCCTACGCTACTAAACCCATTCCAAGAGCTCACCGTCCTTCATGAAGATCTTCCGAGAAAGCCGCAGTGCGCGAGAAGTTATCATTCTCGAACGTGCTCATCCCCGAGAAAGGACCCGACGAGAACATGGAAGATGTCCCGTCAGAGTCAAACATGGTGGACGACTGTCTCATGTTTGGCCTGGCACTCGATGCCACAGGCTGAGGGGCTTCTTGATACTCGGTCACTCGCTGCACCATTTTCAGTGACTGCACCACTTCACCCATGGTGGGTCGTTGACACGCCTCTGGGGCGACACAAGCTGCTGCTATTGTGCAGACTCGTACAAAGTCTTCCTTTGGGTACTTCCCTCCGAGCCTTGGATCCACCAGCTCTTCTAGTCGGTCCTTGTCACGAAGAATTGGTCTCGTCTGAAATCAATGGGACAAGGTGTTACTATCATCAGTAATTGATGATCCTGTGTATTGAGCCACTGAAAATACAACTAACCCAAGTCACGAGGTTTTCCTGTCCAGATGGCTGCGACATATCTACAGGCTTCCTCCCGGTGAGCAACTCGAGCAGCACGACTCCATAGCTGTATACATCACTTTTCACCAGTAGATGCCCAGTCATAGCATACTCCGGCGCTACATATCTGCAAAAAGATAAAGGAAAATTTTCATTCGGATTCAAACAATTCAAAATGAGAAATGATTTGTCTCAGCTAAAAAAATGTCCTAAAAAATTTGAAACGAACACATGTTCCATCTATGTTCTTAGACAAACTATTGAGTGTGAAACCCCAAATTATTAGAAGTTAAAAGCTATCAAGCTAAAATAATTCATCCCAATGCAGAACTCTATTCCTTATCGTGCATTGTGTAGGCGCCTTATCGCAAGCTCATGTTTCTACGATCTCAATCTGTATTTACTGGAATGATGCTACAAATATCCATCAAAGTGGTTATTTATTTATAATTGAACAAAAGTGACAGCTGAAACGAAAATAGATTCTTATAACGACAAACACACCCCAGGAGTGAAATTGACCAAAGAAGAGACCGAAACTCACCCAAATGTTCCCATCACTCGCGTGGAGAGGTAATTTACTCTGCCTTCGGGGGCCTGTTTGGCAAGTCCAAAATCTGCAACTTTAGCATGGAAATTGTTTTCAAGCAGAATGTTGGATGCCTTAAAATCCCTGTGGATAACACACGGCTGGGAGTCCTCATGTAGGTAAGCAAGGCCTCTGGCAGCATCCAGAGCAATCTTCATTCTGGTGTCCCAATCTAGAGGACAATTAGCACATAGAGGACCTTGGGGAATAAAACCAACGTGAGGTTGTGAGCCATGAAATTACACGGAGCAGTAATTGAGATCTTATGAAAGTAAATTACCATGGAGCCAAGCCTCTAAGCTTCCATTTGGAACAAGCTCATAACAAAGTAGGTTCTGCGAAGAGTCACGACTACTATAGTATCCAACAAGTTTGACAAGATTACGGTGATGCAATCTACTAAGCATCTCAACCTCCACTAAGAATTCTTTACCCCCTTGTTGACCTCCACTGGTGAGCCTCTTAATTGCAACAGCTGTGCCATCAGTCAAGACACCCTTGAAAACTTTACCAAACCCGCCTTCTCCAAGTATGCTAGCTGGTGCAAAGTTCCCGGTTGCTTCTCTAAGTTCTTCATAAGCTAGGAAACGTGTACTAGAAGGATATGGGACAGGTCCTGCTACAGGTGCAGTATCTGTGGTCCTCGGCTTCTCTGAAAGAGAACAGGGATTGATAAGGAAGATGACACAGAAACTATTTATTGGTAATCAAACTAGCAGAATGAAGATCGCTCTGGTGAATCTGCATTACAGAGTAAATCCCTGTACTCCATTCATGGTGCATAACAAGCTGTTCATATTGGTAATCAAGCTAGCAGAGACTATTTATTTGGAAACTAAGACGTGCTCGAACTCATTCCTTTCATACTCGAGGGAGTAAAATATAGATACTGAGACAAAAATTGATATGATTCTATTTGAAGTTCTGGGCTTTCTTCCAAACCAATCTGAAAATTGCAAAACTTTCTTCCTGCTTTTATCTGAAACAGCCAAGTTCTGGTTTTTACAATGAGAAGGCATAAATGAAATGCAGCAACATTTAGGAACACATACCAGGTTCTTCTGGAGGCGGTTCAGTTCTCCTTCCACGTGACACGCATGAGCAAATTAAAACCGTAGATATAATGGAAATTGTCAAGATAGCAGCACCAACAACAATGAGTATTAAAAGCGTATATGAATGCTTTGTTCTATTTGATACACTTGCGGATGTAGAATTTGAAGATGGATGCACTGGTGCTTGCATTGGTGATGAAGTGGCAACCGGAGCTGTGTAGGAAAAATGATGAGATACTTTAATATATATAGTCAGAGAGAAACAGGTATAGAGATATGATAAATAAAAAATATATTAAAAGTGAAACCATAGTCCGAATGCTTTATGAATACCAAACTACATATGAATGACTATCATGGTATTGCACAGAGACATTAAACCTCACACTGAGATACTTAGAAGCAATGACAGTAGAAGAATGCTTTACCTGGGCTAGGCGGTGGCAGTTGAAACCAGGTAAGATTGAGGAGTTTGTAATTACCAACAAGGGTAGGGTCAAAGTTAACTTTATGCAAGTAAAGGGAAGAGTTTATTTTCGATGCATCACTGGCAGAAAAACTGACTCCACTGTGAGGAATAATGTCCATCGAAATGTTTAATCTCGATAAGCTGAGAAAATAGAAGTTGATGAGCTCAATCTGAGAAACCAGCAAACCCAGCTCAGAAGCTAACTCCTGAAGGAACATGTCCCAGTTATGTGATTGTGAGACATTCGAGAGAAGAAGGTCCAGCTTTATTGGATACACGCAGTGGCAGCCATGACTACCTCGCTTCAAAACCAATTCTGGACCACAACAATCTGGCAGCATGTAGATATATAAGTACACACCAAGTGAAATTCTTTTCAGAAGTCAATAAAGTATGAGATGTTTAGCCATGTCATTCGCTTCATCATAGTGTATTGAAGTGAACTTTCAATTTTCAACTACCACTCAAGCAGTCATTAACCAAAGGAAGCATAAGGAAAAATGGAGGAAGCGAAAAGCCAGGGGATGATCTTACCAGAAGCATCTGGAGAGAGAGGAGGGCGAGCTAAACCAGAAAGCCTGTCGCCAGGATCGGACTGGAGTGGTGCAAGAACAATCAATCCAACACCAGGCGGTGATGACCCACTCTTCTTCATCGATGGTTTAGACAAGCGCGAGCTAGTTGGTGGGCGAGCTGAAGTTACTAATGGATCATAATTAGGAGGGTTAGCAGGGGCTGCAACCACTGATGGTGGTGAACCAAGAGGTGAGAAATGTTTTCTGTGAGATTTGTGGAACCCAGGTTCTGTTACTGATGGCAGGGGCAGATCTGAAACAGGTGGCCCTAACATAGGCGCCTCAATTGGAGACAAGAATCGTTCTTCAGCATTAACCCCAGCTGAATTCACATAAGCAATGAGAATAAGGTAACCCAAGACCACAAAAAGATTTCCCCGCAGCTTTCTCGGTGCTCCTGCCACGCAATTTCACAGCGAAAAGTTTCAAAACTACCAATCAAGACAAGGCCAAGATCCATGAAACAGAAAACCAACAGAAACCAAATACAAGGGCACTATCAATGAAATGGAACTCTCTAATTCATCACAACCGACCCAAATCAGGGGGCAAAGGCTTCTTAACTTAGCTCCTAAACAAGCAAGTTCTAAGTAGTTCGAAATTTGCCTAAGCTGTAATTAGTGTGTGAGCTCATTGTAGCCATTCTCGTTTAGAGAACCCAGAAGACAAGCTAAGCTATTAACCTATCAAATCTCATTTTGCGTTCCACGAGATTGGAAGCATCTCCATATAGAAGCCCACGCAAGCTAAGAATGAGGCGAATTGGGAGAATGTGCAGGAAACTGAAAATTTTACCAGTGGTGACATTAATTGAGGCTGCTGCTGCTGCTTCAGGAGGCACCGACATCACCGGTGACGCCAGGTGAAAGTCACGGTAACTGAGCTGAAAAACCAGATCTGACTATACGGGGAAAAAGGAAGCCGCCGACGGCGAGATCGGGCAAGCAAAGGAGCAGCAGGAGATGGTGACTAGAAGCGTAGCTCATTGGCGTGGAAGCAGCTGAAGCATGGAGAAGAGAGAGCATGATCCAGTGGGGCAGAAGAAACCATGGTGAAAAAGGACTATAGCTCAAGTCCGCCGACAAGTCGGAGCCAAGACCTCCTCCATTACTGAACTGAGGTACAAACAAGCAACAGAGCTACGTGTGTAGACATGGGGCTTGCAATGAATTTAGTCCAAGAGTTTGGAGGTTGAGAATGAAATTTTGCAGATAAACAGCATAGGCAACCGCATGGTGAAGACTGGCTGGCTGGCTGGCTGTTGACGGAGGGAAGAGCAGCGAGAGATTAAAAAAAAAAGAAAAAGGTTTGGTCTTCAGTCTTCACTCTTTCACTGCAGTATGGTTTGGAACAGTACTTTAGAAGCCTTCTCTTTTTCCGTTTTCTTGGTGACGCTTTTAACTTTTTTTTTTTATTTTTTTTTGCTTTCAGTTTCCCCCCACCCCCCCCCCCCCCCCCCCCCGCGGAATTTGACAGTAATTTAACACTATTGAAATTCTTATTTGTAATTAGTTGGTATTTTAAATACATGTAATTTAACTTTGTTGTTTAAATACTTATTTGTAATTAGTTGGTATTTGAGATTTTAGAATTTTTCATTTTAAAATTTGAAATTTTAAGTCACTTACACATAATTTTGGAAAATTACAATTTGGTACTCAAATTTATTATTCTTACAATTTAATACTTAAACTTTTAAAATTTTACCAAAAGTTCCAGAAATGTTGGTGATAAAAATACATTTTGGTACCATTATATGTTTTGCCTCACACTAAAGTACCTAAACTTTTAAAGTTGTACAAATAGGTCCAATCTTTTGTTAGGAGGAATTTCAAATTACTAGTTGCTTAAATGTATTTGAAGTTGACAAGTAATACACTAGACGTGTATTTGAAAATCACCCCATCACGAATTTCGCATAAATTCAAATACCAAATGTAATTAATATCCAAACAAATTATTTGACATTTAAGGGTGCTAATCGGTTCGGTGTCTGTTAACCACTAATCGATATGGCGGTTAGCGGTTAACCAATAAGCAAAAAACTCATACCGATAACCGAACACATAAGCTTTATCAGTTAAGCATCTCTTATCAGTTTGGTAGCGGTGAACAAATAACCACGAACATACGCTCCAACAAATACGAGTATACATAATCAAAGCAAATATCAAATAAGTAACTTTTATTTGCTTTCACGAAATATAATAAAGCGAACTAAATAACCACTTGTAATACACAAATCATCATCTAATTAAGTTTAACAAGTGTCATTTAATCATAACCACTTGTAGAACAATTTAACTACACTTGTATGTTATTCACATAAGTTCTAATAATAAGAAATAATATCAATACAACATTCATCTTGAATTCATAATTCAAATTCCAACACAAAATTAAAAATAATCAAAGGTCTTCATCTACTTAGTGAATACCAACTACCAAGACATCAAACACAAGAACCACAAGATCATCATCATCCACAAACATCAAATAAGCAAAGACTACTAGGGTGCGATGTTCGCTCTGCTGATTGCAAAGGAGTGTCAGAGAGGATGACTTTTGGTTTCTGAGTTAAGAACACATTACTTTGGGTGGAAGGTTGTTTGCAATAAGTGAAAATTGAGATGTCTGGAATTGTGGCTTTGATTGGTTTTTAACCTTGGGACTTTCTCCCATAGTCGAAGAACAAAACTATATGGTTATACAAGTCGGCGGTTATCGGTTTTATTTTCAATTAACCGCTAACTGATTAATCGATTTGCGGTTAACTACTAAGTAAAATATAACTAACCGAATCGAACCACTAAGAAATTAGCAGCTATAGGTTAACCATTAACCGCCGTTAGTCGTTAGGTTATTGATTAAAATCAATTACTGACTTTCCATTTACCACCCCTACTTATATTAATCTTTTACAATGATCTGCGACGTTGTCATCATCCAAACTATTAAGCATGTCACTCTCAATATAACCAACCAAAAAACAGTTAATGATTTCATCACTTATCCTATTTCGAAGTGTGTTCTTTTCAAAGCCTTAGTGGGTTCACCATTGACATGACCAACATGATTCTTAAGAGCTTCATCTCCCCTATTCCAAGCTTTAAAGCCCTTATAAATAAAAGAAGCACCACCACCACTACTTACTACCCTCGTAATATCAAGGACGAAATAATGATAGTTGTTCTCTTAACCTCGGATCAACTTTCATAGAGTTCACATCAAGTTCGTTTTCTCTAGATGCAATTCTAGGCATAGAATCATTTACCGAGAGAGTTTGTGATACTGATGGTATAGACGAAGTTGAATTAGAATCATTTATAGGTGATAATAAATTCAATCCGCTATCTTCACGTTCATGAGCATTTGTGATTATTAGAGGCTTCCTCAAAAAGTATCTATGGATAATATAAAATGATAAATTGCAAGTTTGGTCACTATCATTACTAAAAATATTCAGGTTTGCCACTAAGATTATTTTATTTAATTCGTTGTCACTTAAATTAGTTTAGTAGTCCAAGTTTGCTCTTAAACACCCAAACCCAGTTGGGACTACTTTTATCAAAATACCCTTGTTAAACGGAAAATACTCAAGAACCATAACGCTAAAAGCAGCGGGGAAAATTTTCATAAATAAAATGATGAAATCACATTCTTGTAGTTCAAAGCAACGCCCTAACACTTGGGCAAACTCAATCCTTAAAATCTCAACTTGATCTCGACTATATAATCATAATCATAAAATGTAATAACTAAATAGTCTCTAATGTTGTTGCTTACTGAAAGCCTTGTCTAGAAATCCTCCGTGATGCTTGTACTGCCCTACTCTAGCTGGCTGCCCTTGACTGTTTCTCTTGAACTCGCTGCTCTCTAACTGCTCCTCTAGCTCCTCTTCCTCTTCAAACTGGTGGGTGAGTTGAGGTCACTCTACCCCATTACGTTTAAAATTTCTAATACCTAGCACTTTGCTTAAAACACTTACTTAAATTGGTGGAAGTTGTTTGTACTTCCATTCTTAAAAATCTCCACTCTTAAAATTGTATGGGAGTTAATGTTACTCTCCATTCTTAAAGCTCAAATCTCAACTTCAAATTTTGACTGACACGGGGATCCCTCACTAGCTAGTTCGGTTGCCTAACTCATACGTATGAGAGCCCCTCCAGGCTTTCCTTAAACTTAGTTAGGGGAGTCGTAACGATTTATCCCCCTAGCATCTTAAATTTATCGTGGAAGTCGTAACGATTCATCCCCACAATTCTCAAGAGCATAACTGTTGCTCATATGAAAAATCTCAAGAGCATAACTGCTGCTCTATCTCAAAATCTCAAACGACAATGGACTGACACTAGTGACTAAAAACTCTTTAAACAATTTCACCTTCTTTGAAGGTGAAGTACTCAAAACACTCGTTCTTAAACATTGTAAATACTTAAATAGCAAAACAGAAAGTTAAATGCTTAAATGTAGATATTGAAATGCTCAAAACAATAACTCAAATCAAAGCATGCATAATCAAACACAATCATAAATCACATATGCACATACTTCACGTAAAACATATACTTTTTTTGAACGTTGTTGGGTCATTTCATTAATACGAAACACACTGTACATGGTTGAAACAATAATGAAAGGAAGGAAAAAAGGCTCACTGAGCAAGAAAACTAAACTAAGCTTAACAACAGCCCAACTCCCAAACCCAGGCCCAAAACCACCCAAGGCCCAGAGCCTAGTCCGAAACAATTGACCATCAAAGCCTAATCTAGAAACCCTACATCAGCAGCCCAAGCATTGACTGGTGGCCGCCAATTGCATCTCCCACCTCCAGAAACAAGCCGCCGCCGCCACCTCTTGCCAACACATTCACAAGACGTCCTTCGCCGTGGAAAGAAACACCAGAAAGGACAAAACGACACCGACGAGAGGACTACGATTGCAAGAACGGACGTGAAGAACCAACTCAAAACTGCTCCAAGATCCACCTGCAACCATAGACAAACCAGAAGAGCAACCCCTGTAAAAGGACAAAAACGTGGCGCCTGAAACTCACAGATCTGAGCAAATCGGCCAAGAACCTACCACAATCAAGTTTTCACTGCTCCCAAGCTCCCCAAAAGACTATCCAAGATAACAATAGCCCATGCAACTCCTAAATCACCCCCCAGTTATGGATGAAGCGAATGGAGGTAGATAGAAAAACAAAGAGGAGAAAAGTGAACCAAAAATCGGCTCCCTCAAACACCAACCCGGGGATCATCCACACAAGATCTGGAAACCAGCAAGGTGGGGAGCAAAAAACATCTCAACAAGGAGGGCAGAGACGTCATCATCCGAGGGATGGAAGAAAATCCAGAACGGGGAGAAACAATCATGAACCAACAAGGGAAATGAAAGAAAAAACAAAAGCAAATGGAAGACGAGAACAATCAAGGAAAAGAAAAGAGAAAGAACATGTTTTGAGGGTCACCGCCGGATCCAGAGGAAACTGACGGCAACCCCATGAGATTCATATTCGTTTGGTAACTAGAGAGGTAAAACATATACTTAAAACACCGTAATGCAAACACTTCAAAATACATAAGGCGTAGAATTTACCCCCTTGAACACTCACCTTAATTTTCTCAAATCGACTCTGCTTCAACTTTTTAATTTCCACAACTTGCTGCTATAATATTCTCCTTACTTCTATGATTCCATAGGCGCACACGGTTTCTTATTTGGACGCCAATTAATCGAGTTATGGCCAACACGACGACTGATTGATGGAAGGGCTTGGTTGAGTGCGACGTTTACTGCTCTCCTTGTGAAGGCAAACTTGCGCTGAGGAAACGACCGACTATTGGAGTGCGAGGGCGGATGGGAGATGGGGGAATGGTAGTCGGTTCCGCTGTTGTGCGGACTATTTCTCTAGGACGAAAAGAACGCTGTTGCGCTAGCTATTTCTCTCGTTCCTCTCTTGGTTTGCGGTGGGGGAAATAAAAATGGAATGGGGTCTCGGGCTACTGCTACTGCTTTTGGTCGCTGAGTGAGGGGGTTAATTAGGTGGGTCAAGAAGTAACTGTGAGAATAAATTGGGGTTAATTGGTGGTTTTAATGGAATCGGAGATTGAGAGAGGCAAGGTAACGGGTGGGTGTTTCCCCATTTTTTCTTATTTATTTAGTTTCATTAAAACCTATTTATCCTTAATTTGGAAATATAAATTAATTAAAATCCGAACCCACTTGATTACCGGTTGAACCTAACCCAGAAATTCGGAATGCTGTATTTTCTCCACCCTTATCAAAATTTCGTCCTCGAAATTGCAACTATAAGATAGGGACTAAGAACAATCAGTTGTACTGACACATACTGTGTTTGACTGAAATTGCTTTGAATGAGAAATAACAATTCCCTCTCTCTTAAGAAAATTT